AAAAAAAAAAAAAGTTGTTAGGAATTATTCCCAACAATATTTTCTGTTGCAATAATTATCAACAAGCAAAACTTTGTTGTCTAAGAATTGTTCAATTGGTAAAACACGTATTTCTTGTAGTGGTATGAAGAAGAAACGTGCTTCAACCATATTTTATTCATTCATTTTTTATTTTTTCTTTTAATTCTCTTAGTTATTTTGTTGATATTCACAAACACCCTAATCTATCATTATATAAAAAGAATAACTTTTTTATGATTTTTCGCCAAAATTTACCGGCAAAATCATTTAATGAATAAATGGGGCGCTAGTTTTTCTGATGGTTCCCTTTTTCTATTTTATAGGTTAACAAAATAACAGATTGTGTTGATATTATATAAAAATCTATCATTACAAAATTATATTAAAAAATAATTGATAGCTTATAAAATCTCATAGCATAAATCTACAAGAGTTTATCTCTTATTTGTTACAAAATCTCATTGCACACGTCTCACGAGTTTAAAAAATCCCATCACTTATCTATCAGATTTAAAAAAATAAAATAAAATAGGAACCAATTCATAATTACTATTAGAAATCCATTATCTACTCTAAAAATCTAATTTTCATCGTTCTAGTTACTAATATTTTTACAAATATTATAAGCTAACAATACATCCTCGATAACAACGTAAAAAGTATAATAATAATTTTGAAATTTTGTGTAATCAAATTTTTTTAGATAGAAGTAACGCCATAAATTCGGTATCATCTGACCTAATGTGTTTATTAAATTAGGCTTATAATATTTTAGATACTTTAAACAAATTATTTAGACATTTTTTTACATATTCGTCTATATATACATACATATATATATATATATACATACATATATATATACTTATACACATATACATAATTGATATTAAATTTAAATATTTGTAGACATGTTTTCTTTACAAAATAATCTAAAAAAATCTTTTTTACACAATGTTAAAGTCAAATGTTTTTAGATATGTTTTCCTTCTAAAATTATTTAGAAAAGTTGTAAGTGACTTCATATCTTCCAAAAATAATATAAAAAAGTTGAATACTTTTACATATATTAATATAATATTTTAGGTGTTTTTAATATTTAACATACAAATTTTATATTCTCTTATACAAAATAATGTAAAATTTATATTCTCTTATACAAAATAATTTTACCTTGTTTGATCTTGAATCTTTAATTTATAATTATTAAGTATTGTTTATCTTCCTCTTTAATTTATAATTATTTTTTTCTTTCCTCTTTTTAAATAGGATCAATAGTAGTTTCCACTTCCGCCATTGGGTGACTCAAAC